ACCACTGATGTGACCATGTTCCCTGTGAGCTGGGAGTGAAATGAGGTGAGACGATTAATCACAAGACATGGATTTCTGAAGGATAAGGGACAAAGTATGGAAATAACGGCAACAACAAAAATGAGCAAGAGAAACATACTGCTTTTCCAATAAACAGTGGCATCTAACAATGAAAGAACATGACCCCTACGGATTCTTTATGTCTATTCAGTTCTCTTGACAAATTAAACTAGAATTAAGTAGTGATAGATTTCCAGAAGATGAAGTAGATTTTCACACATACACCCACAGTGTAAAAGCTAAAGCAAGACACCAAATAGCCAACTGTCAGTCATGTACTTGGCCCTTGAGTACAGAGCTGTGATGTGACCACACTGGTCCAAGGTCAAGCCAGTCAATGTTCCAGCACGTGTAGAGAAGGCATTCATGGGACCCACCCTCAAAACGCCTTGACAGGTGATGGCTGCTGGGGGGGGGGGAATATCCCTTTTCTTCAGGGCTGGGGCCTCTGCTCAGTAGCTCATGCTGCTCTAGATGGCCCTACATTCTTGCACATACACAGAGCACTAACTGAATTCAGTGGGTTACTCAGAAGAAGAAGGAGGAGTATTAGGAGGTAGTGTGGGTCTGGGACAGGAGCGGGATGTGGTTATGATCTAAATACATTGTTTCACATGAGAAGTTATCAAAAAATATATCATTAAAAAAGGAAGAAATCAAACAGAAGGACCACCTTATTACTGGAAACTCAAGTAGCAGGGACCACAAGACTCCTAAAGACCAAAGCAGTCTGATGAAGAGCTCTTTCAGAAAGCAAATCTCTTTTAACCAGAGCTTCCCAGAATCCACCTTTAAAACCAGTGACCTTGGAACTGTGAAGAAAACTGAGTGACCTTGGAACTGTGAAGAAAACTGAGTGACCTTGAAACTGAAGAAAACTGAGTGATCTTGGAACTGTGAAGAAATACTGCGGAGTAGAGGAGCATGGGTTTAGGGTTTGAGATGGTCACAACGGTATTTTAAAACTATCCAATCTGGGTATTTTGACTCAATTCAGGTATCGTTTCATGTTCTAACTGGAATAATGTGCCTTTCTAGTTAAGGCAGATTGGCTTCATATGATTGTACTTTAAAACAACAATTGGATTGACCCAATCTCCTTAATTTTTTTCCAATTACAACCCGAGGTTGTAATACTTGGTGGCTGTGATGGTTAATCTTCATGTCAACTTGACTAGATTTAGAATTACATGGTGACACACTTCTGGGTGTGTCCATGAGGGTATCTCCAGGAAAGTTTAACTGAGAGAAGACCCACCCTGAATGTGGGCAGCACCATCTCATGCCTTCCAGTTCTGGAACAAGTGGAACGGAGAAAGGTTGCTGAGCGCCCGCATCCACCTTTGTCTGCTTCTTGACTGCAGATGTGAGATGCCCAGTGCCGCTCGGGCCGCTGCCATGCCTTGCCTGCAAGGATGGGCCTGACACTCAAACTGCCAGCCAAACAACACTTTCCTTCCGTAAGTTTCTCTCTTCAGGTGTTTTTTAAATAACAACAAGAACAATCACAAACAGTGACTTAAGTCAGTCTTCAAACAAAGACCTCCATCAACTACGATGGAGACTTTGGAACGTCGGGGCAGCCAGCACAGAGCATCAGAGCAATTTCTAAATCATTGGCAAGCAGATCTTGCGTTCAAATACTGGTTCACTTGAGCTGTTTAGCAATAAACACTAGTAATAGCTGTCATGTGTTGGGGGTTTACAGAGAGTTGCTATTGACTCTTATAAATGATCCCACTGCATAACTTCATAGAGTCTATGAGAGGCCCTGTCAATGCCCCTTTGCGCAGCTGAGAGAAGTGGTACTTGGGATGTTACTTCAGTCACCTAGTTAGCAAGTATCAGGTCAGAGATGCCAACACAGGCAGCCCTGTGCTAGACAGAGCCCAGAGCTGTTGTGTAAGATATAAAATGAATCCAGCCAAAGTCCCAGTTATGAATCAGTGGTAGACCTACATGACAGGTACATACTGGAAATACAGAAATGTGAAACAATGATGTTGAGTGACGGCAGATGGGTACAGTCTGCCCTCCATACTGGAATACCACAACCCTGAGTGGCTGCTTTGCCTTGCTGGACCTTAGTGACTGCAGATGGGTACAGTCTGCCCTCCATACTGGAATACCACAACCCTGAGTGACTGCTTTGCCTTGCTGGACCTCAGTTTGTTCATCTGCAAAGGTAAGGTGATGCTTTAATGTTCAGGTGGCAGCAAAACAGTTTTTCCGTCTTTCTGTTTCTTTTGTGACAGTGGGACTGAACCCAGGGTCTCTTGCTTCGTGCAGCAGAACAGAGCTATACCTCAAACTCAAGCACTGACTTTTAATTAAGACATTATCCACAAAAATGAAAAGAGGCATGTTGTAAACACTACTCCAGCCGGTTGTTCATTACAGTTTCATGAGAAAATGAGATCATGAAGGGGCTGACAGGCTTTTCTGTTGGGTCAGTTCAATAAGTGGAGATGGGCACAGGGCAGTAAAATGGAAGCACGGGGAAAAGGCAAGTTCTGGAACCGTCAGTGAGGACCTGTGAACACTTAGTACAACCAGGAAGACACACCAAAGTGACCCAAAAATAAGTGACTAAGGAGCCAGGGGACAGGGACGAAGAGATGACTCAGCTGTTAAAAGCACTTGGGAGGGAAGGGTAGGCAGATCTCTGTGAGTTCAAGGCCAACTAGAGCCACGTAGTAAGACTCTGTCTCAAAAATTAAATAAAATAAGAAAATCAACAATGAAAACAACAAGGAAAAGAGCATTTATTGCTCTTCTAGAGGACTAAGTTTGGTTCCCCACATGCAAGTATAGCAGCTCACAAGCACTTGTAACTCAGTTCCAGGGAATCTGATGATTCACTTCAGGCCTCAAAAGGTGCCTTGCACACATGCACATGCACACAAAATTAAAAAAAAAATCCTTTTTTTGGTGAAGAATCTGCAGCATCCTGGCATAGGTGTTAAAAATGTGTAGCCGGGCAGTGGTGGCGCACGCCTTTAATCCCAGCACTCAGGAGGCAGAGCCAGGCGGATCTCTGTGAGTTCGAGGCCAGCCTGGGCTACCAAGTGAGTTCCAGGAAAGGCGCAAAGCTACACAGAGAAACCCTGTCTCGAAAAACAAAAAACAAAACAAAACAAAAAAAATAAAAATGTGGACTGCAAGCCAGGTGTGGTGATGCATGCCTTTAATCCCAGCACTTAGGAGGCAGAGGCAGGCAGATCTCTGTGAATTTTAGGCTAGCCTGGTCTACAAAGCCAGTTCCAGGACAGCCAGGGCTACACAGAAAAACCCTGTCTCGAAAAACAAACAAACAAACAACAACAACAAAAATCCAAATGAACAAAAAGACTGTGGATTGCATTTAACCTGGGTTTAAATTCTGGACAGCTCAGCCCTACAGCTTCAGATCTTCTCACTGGGGAGATGGGGTCTGTGACCGTGACTACACAGGTTCAAGGCAGTGCAAAGGAAGTGCTTTACGATGACTATCGTTGCTTAATTCATCAGTCACGACAGTGTGAAGGAAAGGATGTAATTTCAGGTGAGGTATGCATGTGAGATTATAAGTTTGTGGCTTCCAGTATCTTAACTCTTGGTACCTAGGGAAGACACTTCCAAAGAGGTATTTGGAACTGTCTTTAAACACATCATTAGGTTTCTTCTAGAGTCCTTTTGTCCAAAGCATAATCTTTATTTAAAACAGACTGACCGTAGTGAGGGGGCACATATCACGCTTGAAATTGGGCCTCTGTCTATACCTGAGTAGATAAACCATTTGATTCGATAACATACAGTCCAGCTTTTCCATGAACTGCCTCCACGAAGACTGCCAAGGTGAGAGCAGACACTGTCTGCAGGCATGCAGTGGGAAGGTGACTAGTACATGGGGAAAGAACAGAGACAAAAAGTGCAGTGCAGGAAAGAGACCGACTACAAGATGAAAGCTGGGTGCAGGGAGAAGAAGGAGGCAAGGAAGAAAGGTCAAGAGGAGCGAAGACGAGGAAGAGGGGAGGAGGGTGGGAAGGAAGAGGAGGAGGACGGGTAGGAAACAGAGAAAAGGAGGAGGAACAGAGAAGGAAGAGAGGCTCGATGGAGAGATTTGGAGAAGGATGGAAAAACCTTATAGGTGGTTGTCAGAGTTCAGCTTTTAACTTGATCAGTAAGAAAAGCTATTAGAGGATTTTGAGCAGAGTGTGATCTGGTCTGTTTACATGTTAAAGATTGCCCTGTCAGCTGATGTGACCATATCATTGTATGAGGGTGGGAGAGCACATGGGTGATTTGGGTCAAAGAGGTGACCTTGGAAAGTGACTGAATTTCACTCAGATTCAAAGACTAAATAGTGACTAACTAATGCCTTGAATGTGGGTGTGAGACAAAAAATCTGGCAAGGATCACTTTTTGTGTAGCAGTTTCCTGGGGGATTAAAACCTTCCATCTTAGAGGGAAGTTCATTAAAACACTGGACGTTAAAAAGGGAAGCGAAACAACAGAATGTTCTAAGGGGAGGTGAATGGCTCTATCTTGCAGGGAAGGTCCTTTGGCGTAGGAAGTGGACACTCAAAATAGCAGCAGGAAGTTCCTGAAGCTAAACAGATTCACTAGGCCCCTCCCTCTCAAGCAGCTATAAGCATATGTATAAGAACCACTCAAAGATCCTCAGATAAGCTGAGCTGCATAGAAGAGGTTTAGACCAACTGAGCTGCTTGGGAAGGACACTCTAACCTGTTGAGCAATCTGCAAGTTGTGTCATGGGGCTTTGCTTAGGGTTTACACTTTCACTGTCAATTGCATTTTTCCACACACACTCACCACAAAAGAACACTGTTACAGAGTTGAAACTAGGAACACAACTAGCTTTATAACCTCTTTCACTACTCTTTTGTTCTGCCTGCATTCTGTCCTTCTCTATCACCTAATATTACCCATTGCTTAAGTCTGGTAGATACAGAAGAGATCAGCCAAAAGGGTACAGACAGAGTCCCTGAACATCCATGGGGAAGGTCATCAGAAGATGGAGATGGATGGAGTCAGCGCTGCCTACGGATGGAGGAAGACAACGGATGGGAAATGAACTTTGAAATCAACGCCCTGGCTTTGGCAGGAGCCTTTTTGTCAGATTGGAGACAAAACCATGTTTGCAGTAGGGCTGAGATAAAATGAAAAGGGAAGTGTGGGGGAAGAAGGAGTCTGGGGTAAAAATTTTAAAAAGTACCAGTGAAAAGTCATATAGAAAAATGAGGCAAGACGACCAAATGTGGAAGGATGTTGTTCGTTTTTAAGACGTGAGGTCGCTTCATGGGCTTATGACAGTACCTAAGAGGAAATGAAAGTATTTTAGTGATCTAAATTGTTGCCTTTTTTTATCTGATTTATAATATATACAATTTAGTATGTTATATCACTCACATACGTATTTGATAATACAGCAAATAATATTAATAAATGTGACTAGTGAAGTCACAATCATGCTGGTGTAATCTTGGCTAACACTCTCCTCATAGAAACTGTGTTGAATATAGGACCTCCAAATTTGGCTGGTAATGCCTAGCAACAAGGGGTAATCGTTCAGCGGGAGCTTTTCTGGGTAGAAGAGCCTGTTCGGTGAACTTGGACGATCACAGACACCGTTTCTATTGAACAGTTAGCGCCACACATGCAGCATGCTATGGGGAGAATCCACTTGCTTTTGAAGCAGCTCTTGGCATATCAGATCTTCTCTGGGCTAAGGTAACATAACTTGCTATGTCCCCATTACACTTACTCCAGCAGCCAAGTGCTAATGATAACATACGTAAAAACAGACGCCGGGTTGATAAGCTACTGGAGACAGTCTAGCTGAAGGCATGGCTCACATTTGGAAGATGTGACTCCTAAGACATTTGATTGTAACGTTGGTTCATCTTAAGAGTAAACTTTTGTTTAAGAGAAGAGTCCAGGGCTGGTGACATGGCTCAGCGATAAGAGTGTTTATTGCCAAGCTTAATGAGGTGAGTTTGATCCTGGGATCCCACACAGTGGAAGGAGAGAACTAACTCCTGTGAGCTGCCTTTAAACTTCCACATCTACAGTCCTGCTGTGGAATAATCTTTTTGTACACTGTGAATATGTGCCTTTGCCAAGGCACATTCTGATTGGTTTAATAGAGAGCTGAATGGCCAATAGCTGGGCAGGAAGAGGTTAGGTGGAACTTCTGGGCAGAGAGGGAAGAGGAGATGAATCTAGGTGTGGGAGAGATGCCCTAGGAGACAGAGAGGAAGCAGGACATGCAGCAGGAGAGGCAAAAGCCAAGAGCCATGTGGTGGCATGTAGATTAAAAGAAATGGTTTGATTTAAGTTATAAGAGCTAGTTTGAGACAAATCTAAACAAAGGCCAAGCTTTCATAGTTAATAATAAGTCTCTGTCATTTTTTGTGAGCTGGTGGCTCAAAGAAAAATTTGTCTACAGCCCTCCTCCCCCAAACCCACCCACAAATAAATGGGAAAAAAGAGCAGTCAAATTGCTAGACTGTAAATTTCTCTCCATATTTGTGGCAAAGGAGCACAGAAGTCACCTGGTTCTTTACAAAGTTCTATGCCATGGAGCATTCTCTAGTGAACAGATTTGTTCTGTCCATAGCTAGGCTTGGAGGGATGAGTTGATGAACCCCTGAAGGAGGAGACGGCTTGAAACTCAGAATGGTAAGATGAGCACAGACTGAGCACAGACAACATTCTCCTTGAATTCACTTCACTGCCAAACCCCAACAAAGGCCAGCTAAGTTCAGAAAGACTTCCTCAAGCACAAGTGGGTAAAAGGCAAGCCATGCCTCAGTACCCCCTTCCCTGTACCTTCCATCAGATCCTCCTTTCTCTGCCCCAGACTCTGGAGTCTTCTGTGTGTTCTGATGCCTCCTTGTCTTCCTTATCGGGACTACATGACTCAGATTTATAAAGGTATCCTTCTGCATATTAAAATTATCTGTCGTAGAGCCAATTTCTCTTGCTCTGGGCTCTGTCAGTCTTTGCTCCTCAATCTTTAATGTGCACATGAAACAGTTTGCCATCTTGTTATAAGGCAGAGTCTTATCTGATAGGTTTTGGTGAACAGAGCGGCTAGTGCCCACACCACTGATTGTTTGACAAGCTCCCCTGGGATGTAAGTGCTGACACTCTGCAGAGTACACTCAGGAGATGAGACACCAGCACTAAAGCTAAGTGGATAAACTCCTGAAAGCCATGATGCACGGATTTACTGTGGAACCTCTTTCCATGGTTTAAATGTCAGCCAGAAAAGTGACCAAACTTCTGTGTCTCAGATTCTTGTGGTGCTGGGGATTACTCCTAGGACTTTGCACATTTGAGACGAATGCTCTACCATTGAACTATGTTGTTCCAGAAATCACCTGCCCAGTGTGCCCATGCCTGCTGGGAGAGCAGTCATGACTCCAGTTTCTCATCCACACTATTCATCTATGGCACAGGACACCTTGAAGAAGCTCTTACATTTCACTTTCCTGACCAAATTGTCTCTCCTCCTGGGTGTCTGTCCCGGTGGTCTCCATCTCAAGCCCCTGTACTGGATCTGTCTGAAGCCCTGGCTGCCTGTGACCATGAGGGGATGTGTCCTTGTTTCCTACCTCACTCTGACCCTGTCACTGCAGTTAAATGGGCCATGTGTGTCTGTGTCCAGAGACAGAACAGATGGCACCTCGGGATTAAGGTGCAGAGAGCAGCAGTTCTAGAAGGATTAAGCTTTTTCCCTCAATGGGGCGGGGTAGCAGAGGATGAGGGAGACCTGATTTGACAAGAGTCACTTGACCCTGTCAGTGAATGTGACAGTTGTTGGATTTATTTCACTCTCACTGTCCCTTGCCTGTTGGAAGTCCCTGTGAATATCTGCAGAGGAAAGAGCTCTAGAGTGAAGAGCCAGAAGGACAAGGGTTGGAGTGCAGCTGTGTGACCTCAGAGAGATCAGTTAATCTCTCTGTGCCTATTTGCTCAGGTGTGAAATTAGCTTGGGTATCTAATGTTATCTACAATGAGGATGGCAGGGCCTCACAGAAGCAGCTTTTAGCCTATTAGGAAAGGCTTAACTGAATGAGGTCATGGGATGGTAAGAAGAATGTCTAAAGCCATGGGTGGAAGGACCAGGCTGGTTAGTGTTATGTTTAACCTTGAAATTGAATGTAATAGTCCCTTTGTATTCAACTATAACAGACAATCGTCACATCACAGATAAGGGGTCAAGAGACTGCAAAGGATGGGGAGATGGTCGAGCTGCATTTCACTTGGTGAAGTAGAGAGTTCTTGAGAATCAGGTAGGCTAGGATTGAGCGTCCTGCAGAGGATGCCGGAATGCACTTGGGAGGACACTCAGTGCTGCTCCATACCTGTGGGCAGGTTTCCTTCAAAGCTTCCCTCCCAGTCTGCAGCCAACAAGGCAGACCAGGTAGGCCCTACTTGGTAGGGAACCAGCTACAGATGACAGATTTTGCCTTCTGATGGGGTCACTACTAGTATATTTTGTCTTTAGGTAGTCTAGAGGCACCTGAAGAACGGGTTTCCATTTGTACCCACGTGCCCACTCATCCAAGCCCACAAAGATGCAGCTGTACCAGAGTGGCTGACATGCCACCCATTGGCAAGCCCGAGCCACCATCCCTCAAAGGGCATATTATGCTAGCGATTTAGCAGGACACACATGGGCACCCCCATCAGTGGAGGGGGGCGGTCTGTGGGGCTGTGATGGTTAATCTCAGTTGTCAACATGATGAGATCTCGAATCATCTATGAGTTGGACATACCTGTGAAGGATTATCTAGGGTCTGCTGGTGGGGAATAATCTTGATTGGGGTGATTATGGTGGGAAGAGCTGATCCCCAGGCTGGGGATCCTGAGCTACAGTGTTCCTTGCTCTGTAGCTCTTGACTGGGGATACAGTGTGACTAGCTGCTTCCGGTCCCTGCTGCCTGGGCCTCTCCACCTTGGACTCCGAGGCAAAATAAACTTCCTTAAATTCCTTTGTCAGAGTGCTTATCAAAGCAACAGAAATCCACTGCAATGGGCTGTCAAGGATGTGCAGACTGACCCTAAAAGCTCTCACAAGAGGCCCGGAGTACACAGGTGGCCACTACCACACGTCACTAACATTCGCAGGCCAAGCACCGGCAGGTGTGGCTGCTAAGCCTTGAGCAGGGAAGGGTTGGGAAGGTGCAGAGGAAAAGCTGGGTCCCTAAAGTGAGGTAACATTGAGAGGATCTGCCTCCCTCAGGAAACTGACAGATTAATTAAACCACCAACTCACTCTGTTGTTCAGACTTGAGAAGACGTGGGAAGATCATAAAAGCGGAAGGTCCAGCTATCAAAGGCGCAGAACAGCTGAGGTGAGGATGAAAGAAATACGGCTTAAAGGAGATTTTCGGGTCTGCGGAGGAAAGATGGCGGAAAGAAACTTCCAGGGACAACTCGCTGGCCTGGAGGAGTGCAGGGGCTCCACCAGCACAGCCCACAGCACCTGCCCATTCTGTGGTTACCTCCAAAGTCTAGCTTAAACACCCCTTTCTCTGGTAAGCCTACCAGTCCCAAAGTTAGGTTTAGTACCCTACCAGTGTCCGCTGACTTCCTGCCATCATGGTATTTCTTATACCTTTGCCCTTCGGGTATTTGTCTCCGGGGAAGTCGACGGCTGGTTTTTGCCTCCCACATCCTCAGTGGTCACCAAGGTATTTAGAATATAACCCACACTCAAATATTTATAAAATGAGTAAATGAGTATATAGTTGAGGGATTATATTTTTCTTTTAAAAGAGAAAAATTCAATACTCAGAATTTTTCTTTTTAATCTAGGCAGCAGAATTAGAATGAAGAAGGGAGGCACAAAGAGAGAATTTATGTAGAGGGGGGAAACTACAAAAATGACATATTGGAAAAATGGCCTCGGCCGTTGTGGGGACAGTGCTTCATTAGCAGTAGCCTTCCACTCCTGCCCATATCAGCATTCCATTTCCATGGACTCCAATACGTGGGCCATTTTTTAAAGGTTATAAAGATGTTATTCATCATACTGAGGGTAGTATTTACAAGATTGATGGACTCTGAACACAACAGAAGAGAAATCCTCAAAGCTAGGGGCATGGTTTGTCCAGGAATTTTTACTGAATTTTACATTTTTAAGTAGATCAATTTTTCATTTCAATCCAAAGGCCCTTGTCTGTTTCTGAAATTTGTAACATCTGCTAGGGAAGTGACGAGTGAAACAATTTTTTAAAAGATCAAGTAATGAAAAAATTTCTCTGTTGAAGGACTGTGGATTTTCAATTTGTTCCACATGAGACCATTTCAGGAAATTACCTTTTAACTGTTTCTCATCTTGTTTGGGCAGCAATATTCCCCTGGTAGGGATGGATTGTGTTCGAAGAGAATTTTTATACTGGAAAAATTCTACTGGTCTAAGGACAATAGCCAGATTTCTAGTGTTGCCTTCTGTGGACTCTTTGCCTACGTGGGAGATTAATTTTTTTTCTAAAATGGGCCATAATTAAGACAAAACTATGCTTTCCTGTGAGCATACTATAGAGGATTATTCAGAGCATGTAGTTTACAGCTGGAAGACAAAGGTCAAGGATGGAATGAGAGAACAGCTCTCAGAATGGACTGTGTTAAGACACATTGCCCATATCCCCAGTCCCAGTTTCTCAGTGGATGGCAAATTCCTGCTGTTACTCATTCACTGGTTCAAAGCTCTTGCCTTCTATTTTCAGTGGAAGCTTAGAGACTGGTAATGGGGCTGTTGGGATGAAAGACTTCAGAGTAGAAGATGAGCTT